ACTTCTTGTAGATACCCAATACAGCCAAGGACAGCACTAACTGACTTACACTCCGTCAAGATGTGTTTAAATGTGTTGTCCTGACACAATCACGTGTCTTCCCCATCTCCGTCCTGTTTAAGCGACGAAACCACTGTATACGGTCAGCGGTTTTTGTTCACATTTCCGTAAATACTGTTATCTTTCTTACTACTATCGTTTTTTCATTCTTATTATTCTTTTATCGCCATCGCGATAATTTTCTACCACATAAATCAGTCTGGGAACCACGACGAAATTGTTTACAACAACACTTTTCGTAAGCTGGCTGAGGGCATTTGTTTTTCTTTGCATATTCGAACACATTTAAATTTTAAGAATTTCTAAGGTAAAACTGAGCTTCAGTATGGACTTAAAAGAGGACAATTCAATCATTTATACCGGTCGGTCAAATGTTCTTTGCCGAAGACTTTGAGGAAGGGAAGAAACTGTTACTTGAGTAGATGTAACACACTTAAGCATTTGTCACGCAAGGCTGAAATTATTTCAATTTTGTTCTTGTTATTACGTTTAATATTCTCCTGATCTCCATCATGAAAGCATTAGCAGAGGGTGCTCATGGGGTTAGCAGTTAACCGTCAATTGGCCCAAAAAATATTAGTTAACTAATATTTGGCCCAAAAATTAGTAGATAACTGACAAATGAAAAGTTAACAGTTGAGTGACACTCTATTATTATACTGAATACGATTGTTGTCGTTAGTAAAAGCATCAAAGTTTTTTTTTTTTTTTTCCTAGCAACAAAGCTATTTCGTGACATTTACCTGTCCCCCTGCGTGACCCAGCGACCGTATGTACTGAATTAGCGAATTACCTGTCACGCTGCTTGACCCATTGACATCATGCCTTGATCTCCGCGATGGCGTCGAGTGGCGTGGTCAAAGTTATTCTGAATTTTTATTGAGGTGATCACCAAGGATCGGCATTCGAACGACACAGGCGTCACATAGCATTTGACATGGATAAGCACAATACAATGGAGAAGGCTTGCAGACATTTGATTAACTTTATGGGAATTAAAAAACAAGTAGAAAAGTTCGGACTCGGCGCGTTTGATTTATAACTGTTAAGATTAGGAAAGATCGAAGGAAAGGCTGAAATTCTTGAAATTGTAGCAAAGGCTCAGCTGGAAGTGGAACTGCCTTTTTTTTGGTAGGAAGTGTAGTGAGTGAGCTCAATGGTATGTATTTTGTTTCGTCCTGTTGTTTAGAATCTTGTCGAGCAAGCGAGCTGAGCGCGGATTGACCACGTAAGATTTCTGATTACAGTAAAAACCTATATCAAGCGGACCCCATAGTAACTGGACACATGTAATAATAGGTTTCGTTTTTATCCTTCACATAGCCTCTGTGTACGAACTTGCATCTAGCGGGCATCTCAAGGATTTTTATCTCGCTTTTGGAAGCCATGGAGTGTTTGTATGAGAATCTAAGGAGGAATAGACCATTAGAAATAACCGGAGGGAGGGGAGGGAGAAAATTTCCTTCGCACGATTTTTTTTAAGGCACGCTTGACTGTAGGATTTTTCTTTCTTCCGTTGCATGAATTATTTTTTTAGGCATAACCTTTTGCAGGATTTATTCAGACAAGTTTCTCTTGCAAGATTTTTTTTGGAGAAAAGTCGCCCTCCCCCCTCGGTTATTTGTAATGGTCCGTCACCCGCAGGTGAGACCATAAAATATTGTCAGATTCCATTACCTTGTAAGTTATTGTTTTTAAATGGACTTTTTCCAAAAAGTTAATGGACGTTTGATTCTCACACGGTTGCCTACATTACTATTACTATTACTATATTTGTTATTATTATTATTATTATTATTACTATTATTGATTTTTGTTTTTATGTCTGCAGTACATGTCATCCAGAAAAAAATTAATTGGACCAATAAACAACCGATTATTTTTACACAAAAACCAGGAAAGTCAAGGAGGACTACAAATGGACTTCTGTTGCAAAAAAAAGAAAAAGGAGAAAATCATTCTGACACAGGATGAGACTATGAAGTTGAGTTTCAAGTAGTAAGCAAGACATGCATGACCAAGTCGGGAAGAGCAGTAGCTGCGTTTGTACGTCTAGATTTATGAGGTCGGTACTAATTGATGGCTGTATATCAATTACACTTACAGCGAAAATCGGTTGATAGATTGTAATTACCCTCAGTTAGCCGATCAGTGATCGGAGACGTGGTCTCCCGGGAAATTTAATTTTCAAGATGACAGGGTAGGGGAAGCCTACAACCCCATCTGAAACCCAACTAAGGATCTTTCCATCGTGTAATATGCTTTCAGCATTTCTATGTTTTTTAGATGTTTAGCGAAAGATGCGGATTAAATGTCCCACTTAGAAACGAAAAGACGGCAAGGTTAACTGCAGCGTCATCCAGCTGACCTTAGTGGCTCTTATTGCTATCGCATCCGGTTAGAATACATCGCAGCGGTTAGAATACATCGGGTTACAATACATCGCAGCGGTTAGAAATACATTTATGAATAGACCAATGAAACCAGATCATATGGTATAAACTTCATTTTTCCTCGAAATAATGAGCCCTGTAAGCTTGGTGCTGTTTTTCAGACTTATTGCATTATCGCGAAAAATATATCTTCGACAATCAGCGTCAAAAATAGTCGACACATCATATTTGAAGAGTTCTATTTATGCCCAGAATAACATTCCTGTTTCTACCACACTGTAAATCTACCGCACTGTAAATCATTAACAGCACCCCTCCCCCATTCAATGTTGGCGAAAAGTTCATGGATTCAGGATACAACATTGACTTGACTCTAATTCACTTGACTCTGATGCATGATGACTTCCGCACACGTTGTCGAAACGTCAGTCACTACCACCGAAACAGTCCTTCTCAGGATTACACTCACCCGGACGATCACACAACACTTTCTCAACATTGTTGGTTTGGTTTTTGTGTGTGGGGCAGGGGGAGAGAGAGGGGGCGAACAGTTTAACTTAAAGAAGGCGAAGAGTTAAAATCAACTAAAAGGGTACAGAAAAGATCAAAATGTCAACATTTTTGTCACCGATTGTCTGAATGATCATATCAAAAATTTCTTACACAAAGAAGTTTTAAGAGAAGCCTGTATTTTTGATATTATGTTATCTGCTTCATGTTTACTCTCGTAGCTTTACTATGAGCACCCCTCAGTTCTCGCTTGTTAGGATCGATTATGTAATCAACTTGTGACGTAGATATACAACGACTGCGACTGAATTTCAAACTTGGGCTTTTCTACGGGACGCCCAAGTTTTAAAATGTACTTGCTTCCATCCTTTGCAAGAAGACTAAAGCCAATTTTTTTTCATTTTATTTGAAGACACAGCCATAATAGTGTTTCAGAATTAGCAGTTTCGATGAAGAGCCTCACGGCAAATACGTGTAACTTTCTTTCACAGAATTGGAGTACGCATAAATGCAAATGTTGTATGGAATTGACAAATCATGATTGAACTGTTACAGTTTAAGATAAGCTACGAGGAAATGAATGTTAAACATCGTGTTTTTTTCAGCTTTCGGACGATATTATCATTCCAACTGGAGACAGGTTTCTGTCTCATCATTAATTATAGCGTGTATATAAAGACCCGAAGAGAAACATGAAAGAATAAAACAACGATGATTAAGATATCTTATCAATATTACCGTGGCACTTCAGCAAACCATTAAAGCCACTTAAGAATCACCCCATCGTATTTTGCAGTCGCTTTCAAAAGCACGGAGAGAACATCATATTGCCGAATATTATGGTGTATGATGAGACATTGATACAACGTTTGCGGCTATGTTACGCGTGCAGCTTGTCTCTGTTCCAAAGATATTCTGTTAATGGGCTCGCTTCCAGGTCTGCCGAAAGGCTGCGTCATTATGTTGTTTCAGTTTGTGTATAGAAATAGAACATTTCTATATAGGCAATTCTTTAACTCACTCATCATTCACTTACCCGCTAGGGTAGGGACAACTGTAAATACGAAGCAATAAACAATCTCTCAGACCTTGCTTAAATAGCAGGCTTTTTTCGGCTTCATAGCTGATAAAATCCCGGCGCATGCAAAACTTACATTGCATCTTGCGTTACATCTTGATTGAATAAACAGGCCATCATTGGTTGAAAGATGAACTGTAAGAAGCACCACATGTCTCGCGTTTGTCACGCTAGACAATTTCGTAAAGTCAAAATCGTTTCCATTATTGAAGTGTTTACGCTTATAAAATGTTCAATTGTTGAGGCTGAAGGAATTCTAAATCTAACTTAGGTTTAAGGAGACAACACTCATCATCTTTTGATGTAATCAGTGCTCATTCCTCGGGTAAATTTTCACCATTACTCTATTGGGCTGATCCCCGGTGTAATAGCCACAGCTGACGTCATGAGTCGCGCACTGTGAAACTTCAAATAAGCATAACTCTAAGTCACGGTAATTGTGTGCGTGACTTATGACGTCTCCTGTGGCTATTACACCGGGAATCAGCCCTCTATTGTCACCTTTCAACGGTCCTGATGGCATTTTGAAATTAATGTAAGGGAACCTTACCTGGTTAAGTAATGATCAGGTGAGTGGCCAGAATATATTGAGGGATCAACTGAACCTTACACATGACTGAATGTTGTACTTTATGCTAAGATCAATAGACCGGGTTACTGATTTTAATCCAAAATTACAATTTTGTTATAAATTACATATAACATGATATCGTGACCNGTGTAACCTTACGTATTACCTGAGCTATCGCTCGAAACGTCAGCTCTTGAAACTGTTTACGTTGGCCAATTTGAATGATCAAATCATTTAATAAATAGAATTTATCTTGTGGCATGAATAAAGTGAATGGTCCGAATGCAATCTGCTGATTTACGAAAGGATAGGTAGTTAAGATTTAGTCCAGCCATAATGAAAGTCAAATTGTGTGACGATTATTATAATTCTCACCTTGTGTTTCGCCTCCATGTCCTTAAGCTGGTTTCTTAACTCAGTGAATGCTGGTCGAACATCCGGGTCATTTTGCCAGCATCTCATCATGATCTGGTACCTGGTATTTAGCAAGAGGAATACTTTTAATCAACAAAGAAAAATTTATTCTTGTTTTCAAGAATCATTTAACTTAGATACCAGTTAAAAGTGGCTTTAACTCACTGTCATCGGGCGAAATAACTCTTGGAGTGGGACTGACGACAAACCAGAGTAAAAGGTGAGAACAGTATGGAATACTTACAACTCATCATCCACATGTTGTGGTTTAGGCATTCTGTAGTCCTGCTGAAGTAGTTTCGCAACTTTCTTGCCATCCAAGCGTGGATATGGAGAACCACCTGGAGATTATGTAAATATTATTTTGTTTGTTATGGCGTAAAAGATAACAGATTACAAATGAATCCTGTTTAGATGTGTAAAATTGATGGCAACAAAGTTAAAAAAAAAGAACAAAAATGTATTTTTGTAGAGGCACGCAGAGGGCCGTACGCTAATGCAACCACGGCCGCACTGCTTATGCAACTTCATCGCTTTCGTATAATTTCTTTGCTTTAAACAGCGGATTTTTGGTCTCAGCATTCTACATTGGTATTCAAAATAGAAAAGGTTAGTTTACTACCTTCGCCGACAGGCAGGGACACCGCAACAGCTTGCGCCAATTACTGCGGGCCAAGTAAACCCACCCATCCCACCCCAGGGAAGGACATCCCCCACACAGCCTAAATTAACGTCTCCTACCCCTAACCCTGCAGGAGACGAGGCCTAAGGTTTATTCGTCCTTGTCCGAGAAGACTAGAATATCTATCCATTTTTTGATGTTATAGAAAGGTAGCAAATTCTCCTCAATTATTTTAAGACCATGAGTATTGGTCCGGCCGGGGCTCGAACCCTCGACCTCCCGCACAACACAATCCGGCGCTCTAACCAGTCTTTAGTATCCTTTTTTGTTTTTCAC